TCGGAAGCTACGAAGCCGATGCCCCTTCTGACAACCAGAGCAATCATTTATTTAGGTACATGGAATGTTCGTACAATGTGGGACACCGGGAGAGCCTTCCAAATTGCTGCAGAAATGAGAAGATACAACCTACAGGTGCTTGGGATCAGTAAAACACGTTGGACGCAAGTTGGACAACAACAACTAACTTCAGGTGAGCTTCTTTTAAACTCCGACCATGATGAAAAAATGCCCCCCACACACAAGGAGTTGCATTGATGCTGTCCAAACAAGCACAAAAAGCACTTATAGGATGGGAATCTCATGGACCACGGATCATCAAAGCCTCGTTCAAAACAAAGAAAGAGGGCATTTCAATGAATATCATCCAATGCTATGTGCTTACCAACGAATACAATAAAGACGCTAAAGATCAATTCTACAATAGGCTGCAGTCAATCATCGAGAAGTGCCCAACAAAGGACCATTCTGATGGGAGATTTCAATGCCAAGGTTGGAATGGATAACACTGGATATGAAGACATCATGGGACGACACGGACTGGGCGAAAAGAACGAAAATGGTGAGAGATTTGCAAACCTATGTGCCTTCAATAAACTGGTCATAGGCGGCACCATATTCCCACATAAACGCATACACAAAACCAAATCGACCATATTTGCATCAACAAAACGTTCAGGAGGACTATAGAGGACGTGAGAACCAAGAGAGGAGCTGATATAGCATCAGATCATCACTTACTGGTCGCCAAGATGAAATTGAAACTCAAGAAGCACTGGACAACGGGGCAGACAGTATCACAAAAGTTCAATACGGCCTTTCTTCAGGATACTGATAAACTCAACAAATTCAAGATAGTTCTCAGCAACAAGTTCCAGGCCTTTCATGATCTACTCAATGGAGAGGAGACTGCTATGGAGAGCATCTGGAAAGGGATAACAGAGGCAATCACTTCAACATGTCATGAGGTCCTGGGCCACAAGATGCACCATCACAAGAAATGGATCACTGTTGATACACTGGATAAGATTCAAGAAAGGAGGAACAAGAAGGCAGCAATCAATATCAGCCAAACAAGAGCAGAAAAAGCCAAGGCACAAGCTGAATACACAGAAGTAAACAAACAAGTGAAGAGGAGCATCAAGACTGACAAACGTAAATATGTGGAAAATTTAGCAACGACGGCGGAAAAGGCTGCAAGAGAAGAAAAAATGAGACGACTGTATGACACGACAAAGAGACTCGCTGGAAATCGCCGCAAACCAGAACGACCAGTGAAAAGCAAGGAAGGCGAGGTAATCACCAACATTGAAGAACAACGAAACAGGCGGGTAGAACACTTCAAAGAACTCTTGGATCGACCAGTTCCACTGAACCCACCCAACATCGAAGCAGCACCGACGGACCTCCCAATCAATGTTGGCCCACCAACAATTGAAAAAATCAGCATGGCCATCAGACAAATCAAGAATGGTAAAGCAGCGGGACCAGACAACATTCCAGTAGAGGCACTGAAAGCAGACGTAGTGGCAACTGCAAGGATACTCCACATTCTCTTCAATAAGATTTGGGATGAGGAACAAGTGCCAACAGACTGGAAAAAAGGACACATCATCAAAATACCAAAGACAGGCAATTTCAGCAAGTGTAATAACTACAAGGGCATCACTCTTCTCCCAATACCAGGAAAAGTCTTCAACAGGGTATTGTTAAACAGGATGAAGGACTGCGTAGACGCCCAACTTCGTGACCAACAGGCAGAATTCCGTATGGAAAGATCGTGTACAAACCAAATCGCAACTCTACGGATCATTGTGGAACAATCAATTGAATGGAATTCATCACTCTACATCAACTTCATTGACTACAAAAAGGCATTTGATAGCGTGGACAGAACAACACTATGGAAACTTCTTCGACACTACGGCGTGCCTCAGAAGATAATCAATATCATACAGAGTTCATATGATGGATTAAACTGCAAAATTGTGCATGGAGGACAATTGACAAACTCGTTCGAGGTGAAGACCGGTGTTAGGCAAGGTTGCTTACTCTCACCCTTTCTCTTTCTCCTGGTGATCGACTGGATCATGAGGACGTCAACATGTGAAGGGAAGCACGGGATACAGTGGATAGCTAGGATGCAGCTGAACGATCTAGACTTCGCAGATGATCTGGCTCTTCTATCGCAAACGCAACAAGAAATTCAGGAGAAGACGAACAGGGTAGCAGCAGCCTCAACAGCAGTAAGTCTCAATATACACAAAGAGTAAAACAAGATTCTCCGATACAACACAGCATGCACCAATCCAATCACAATTGACGGAGAAGATTTGGAAGATGTAAAAACCTTTACATATCTGGGCAGTATCATTGATGAGCACGGTGGATCTGGTGCAGATGTAAAGCCGCTAATCGTCAAGGCAAGAGCAGCATATCTACAGTTGATGCACATTTGGAACCCAAAACAACTGTCAACCAACACCAAGGTCAGGATTTTCAATACAAATGCCAAGGCAGTTCTACTGTATGGGGCGAAAACCTGGAGATCTACCAAAGCCATCATTCAGATGATACAAGTGTTTATTAATAGCTGTTTACGCAAAATACTTCGGATCCGTTGGCCAGACACTATTAGCAACAACCTACTGTGGGAGAGAACAAACCAGATTACAACAGGAAAAAATCAGGAAGAAGCGCTGGAAGTGGATAGGACACACATTGAGGAAAGCACCCAACTGCATCACAAGACAAGCCCTCACATGGAATCCTGAAGGTCAAAGGAAAAGAGGAAGACCAAAGAACACATTACGCCGGGAAATGGAAATAGACATGAGGAAAATGAACAAAAATTGGATAGAACTGGAGAGAAAGGCCCAGTACAGAGTGGGTTGGAGAATGCTGGTCGGCGGTCTATGCTCCATTAGGAGTAACAGGCGTAAGTAAGTGATTAATTTATTTGTCTTAAACTTGAAACTTTAATTTAGATGTATAATTGTAAAACCTGATGAGAATCTTTTTTGGCAATTATTTTACTTTTCAAATAAAGCCATAGTCATAAGCGTTTGAGTCTTCTTGTTTGTTGCTATTGAGGTATCTAATCAATCACTCCTTTTCAGCATGTTTCACTGACCAACTTTACGAATAAATATATGTGAATAATTGGGAGTATCGAGGGGATCTTCCCACGATGCTCATATTACAAGCGACTAGGCAATTGCAGCTTTTAAGAACGACAAAGCGAAGATCCAAAAAATTCTAAATAGGATACATACCCGTTTCATAGGTTACTGACCATTTGAATTCAGTAGCTTAGTGAATAGCGTGATGGAGGTTTGAAGTGAAGTGTAATGTGTTCGAATCCCAATGTGAATGTTAACTCTGAGATGCAAGTAAATTCACCTGAAGAGTCCTAAATGGAACGAAATGCGCTCTTTGGATCCCAATGCTATCAATAAACTGACTGTTATATTAGGAAAAACAGATTGCTTGGTTAGATTGTATTAGGTTCCGTGTAATCTGACCGTAATGACAGGAAAGCAGTTGTACCAACTCTTTAGTCTGATTATCGATTAGTTCACCCATATTGCCAGTAGAACCTGTGACCTATTTACTGATCGACACCGGTCAATGAGTAGCAGCCAAAATGGTAATGCTTATAGGCCTTCGAGCTTCTAAACCAGTGGTCAATCAAAAGATGAAGATAAAAAGATCAGTTCTCTATCATATCCGTTCAGCCATGATTCAAAACACAAAATAATGTTCTTGAAGTGGCTAACCACACAACACAAGAAATCACAGTGTACATAACTTAGTCATAAGTAATACAAAACCGGATTAGTTGATAGTTAATCTGAAACAATAAGATTTGACAACTATTTATAGGTCAAACGAAAGCATAAAAAAGCTATAAGAGTACAACAATACAAGCGTCTACTAATTATCAGTTATAAATATAATCAGTAATTCTCTGTGATATTCCTATGAGTCGTACTCCCACACTACTCGTTTCTTTACATCATTAACTTAACTAAAAAACCAGTCACCTGGGAAATTGTGTAATATAAATGTCATACTTTTTAAAAGCATTTCTTAACTAAATATTTATACGACTAATAACGACCTATTTTCTCTCTTTTCAAACCATTTTTATTTGCTTCATAAATTCGTCGTTGTGAATTGTGACTGGTTCACTTCTTTCTAGGTTTCTTCGCTTTTCACCATGGTACTCTGTGGATTAAAACACTCAGCTTTCAGCCTGTAGGTCACAGGTTCGAGAGCTACTTCGACTGTCTGTCTAACAACCGGGCAATATCCCCAACCCCTACAAAAACGGATAAGTCTGCAGTTGGAATGCGGTCTGAATCTTTTGAAAACCAAATTCACCAGACCCATTTATGGAGTCCTCAACTTTAAACCACAAACTTAGTGAACATTTACCGTTTAACTTTTTCGAATGGTAACTATATTTCATACATTGGCATTAGACATTTTCAACTTGGTTGTCTTTAAACAAAGTTCAGAAGGAACTTGAATTGCTGATAGTATGGAGATATAAAAACTGGCGTGTTATCTTTGAATAGCTATCACTCATTACTATATTGTCATAGTTGAGTCTGTTGTATTTCTGGTTATTTTACCAGTGGTCTGTCTAAACTGATACTTAAGATAGTATTACCTAAATTTTTCAGTTATATTGACATATATGTTTCTAGCAACTGATCATCTACACATTTTTGAGTCTCGAAAATTCTCTTAACAATCGCGGAGTTCATCGTTTCGTTCCTTACTTACATCATTAGGGAGTTAATAGAAAAATAAATTATTTAATGTGCTTCACATCAATTTATTAATTAATTGAACTCATGTGCCAACTGGTTCATATACTTATCATTTCTTTCTATTGAACGTGTTTTTCGGTTTCAAATTGAGTAATCCCTTTAAAAATGATACGTCTTCACTTATCATTTGCCTTATGTTTATTTTGTCTACTTTATTAGACTGGACGTCAGTTTCGTGTCATAATTTTTTCAAATTCTTCTAAAAATCTTCGTAATCAAACACCTATTCTCAATCCTTTGCCATTCTACTCAGATCCTCCTAATCGTCGTCCAAATGGTCTAACCATTCAACCCGTTCATATGTCTCTGACAGCATCACAGATGTCAGCGTTCTCTGCCCCGAATAGTAGTTCATTGGGAAACAATTTTGGTACTGCTGCTTATGGTAATCATAATAATAACAAAGATTGTAGTCCAATTGTTGATTCGGTACAGGGAAATCTAACGTTAACACCATTCAGCGTTAATAATTCAATGCCTCCAAGTTCTTTCCAAAGTTTTAAGGCTAATCACTTGAATACTTTGACAGAATATTGTGTTTATTTATTCATATACAAGAATATTAACGAGCTTTTAGAATGTTGTGAACTAATTAAACATGAATCATCAATTTCCACTGTCCAAAAACCGATAAAAGTTTTGGCTTATTTATACTGCAGTAATTATGACGCATTTGAAGAAAGAAATGTAATCCTCTCTGGACTAATGGCTTCATCGCGGTAAAATAACCACTTTTTATTTCGTATATAATTACCATTATTATATCAAATTATCCATTAATTCTTTTTCTCTAGTGATGTTCATTTTTTGTAGTAATTGTGCACAATATGCATTCAATGTAACATTTTTAAATGTTCAGATGTTGTCGACATTTTGTACCTTAAAACTGATAATAATAGTAGACGATGTCCTCGTGTATTAATTCATTTAACCATGAGTTCTATTCCACCAAATCGTCACTGTCATTTTAAGTTCGATAGACTGTAAAAAGCCCCGTCTAAAAGTTACAATAGCTGGATCTAGTCATCTAAAATTTCAGAAAAGGCTAGGCTGCTTTTGTTAGAATTCGTCTTTATTTCTTCTGGAATGGAGTCAGAGAAACTACAAAATTACGGTACAGTGTATTCCGTTTCTTCCCATTTCGTATACTACCAGTCACTCATATAGCATACAACCGACTTTCAACTTCAGTAGTGCACGACGTTTTGAACCCAATGCTATGCCTACACCTGTGAGAATATTCATTTGCTTAGAAGTGAATAACAATGTCTGGGTCCTTTATTGAGGTCTCACAAACCATATTGATTCACGACACAATATTCTAGAGTTTTGGTTAGTAAATCCTTTTGTGCGATCTTGCATAATGTACGTAATTGGGAGGTTCAGTTTGTGGTTTAGAGTATTGTTTCCTGTAATCAGGAAAGTTATTTTATAAACTCGAGCAGTTAACATTAGTTGCACATTCTGATGACTCTAATGAAGATGGGTTGTTAACAAAGTTGAGTAACAAAGATTTATAGTGTCCTGGTTAATCTGAAATATTTCCGTATGTATGCAAGCGGCTAAAGCTTCTCCTTTGTTTACATCGCAGGAAAATGTTTACTCTAGAACGACTTCCCAAAGTGGCCGAATGAGTGTCAAGTATCTCATAGACCCGGGAGCTTAACTCTTTAAAGCTAATCAAACCCTTCCTTTTTGTAATTATTCACTTTTAGTTTTACCGTGTTCTCTTTCTTCAAACCTCACCCTCCAACACCGAAAATCTATTTCAGTCGGTGTGTGGTGTTTTTAAGACAGACGTCTTCTAGCACTTGTGATAAAGTAGCATAATTGAAAATGATGGTTATCGGTGGAAAACTCTTCTTTCGCGACAGTTTGCTATTTTCATGAGTGTAACTTCCTTGTCGAGTTCGTCGCTGTCGGTCTGAATACTTTAAATCACTTGTCTGAAACCGTAAGACATTAAAAACGAGTTTTCTAGCTAACAAAGTAGTCACATTAAGAAAGTTTAAACATTTTGTCAAGTTAGTAATAGCAGTGGTTGATAGTTTTGACTCGACCACAGGAGCGGTGTATTTCGATATATACTTTGGTGATAATATTGAGTATTACTGATCAAAAGTGAGTGGATAACTGATTAGTATGATTAATCTTTGGACATTAAGTTTGGTTCATAACCTAGTGTAAAAATGTGCACGGTCATTGAGTTGCATCATATTCTACAGTTACATAATAAAAACCTAACAACGTTTAATCCAGCTTGAATTGTTTAATATTACAAGTTTTTATTATCTATATTTTGTCCTTTATTTCCTTCTAGTTTTAGAATACCTTATTTGTCTGTAAATTCTGAATCAGTAGCAGTGTTTCTGGATAATCTCCTCTACTTAACAACTAATACCCAGATAGAAAAAGATCAAACAACATATACTTCCAATTCTAATATTTCTTTTATTGACTGGAGAAGTTTCATAAATGTTGATTATTTATCCATTCTTACAGAATTCATTTGTCTATCAGAAGACTTTATGGATAAGCTAATTACAGAAGATAAATTCAAATTTGTCGGATTATTAACAGCGTTAATCCTGTCAAACTGTAATATAGTATCCGGTTGTACTGATTCACATAGTACAAACCGCAAATTATTCTTTGTACCTTCAACAATTTATCGCGAAGATCCGCAATCGTATTGTAAAAGTAGAAAGAATTCCTCATGCATTTACGTGCATTTTGTACAATTGGACGAAGTAAGATAATTTATCGTTTGCCTATTGATATTTTGTTGTTGTATAGGGATCGATCCTGTAAATGTCAGTATCTACAGAGGAATTATTCAGTCATCGTTTATTTTTATTCCATATAGTTCATACTTTAGTTGTGTAAACAAATACTTGCTCATATAAATATATACGAGGAATGTTGAAATTCTAACTGATCTCTAAGCTTAACTTCTCTGACACTTTTTTGTCTGTGATTCTCACTCTTTATGCGTTACCAATCTCTATGGGTTCCACTGCTAGCCACCATCCATCTTTGCTTATGATGCTCGTCACAATATCGAGGCAATACGCACAGTATGCACATATACCAATAAGAGACTGATCAATTGGAGTCCTGAACATCGATGGGAAGATTCAAGCAAACAGTACCAAGTGAATTTAACTCTATGTTAACTGTTTAAATAAATATTAAGTTTAGTCCATAACCTGTAAATAATAAAAGCAATATGATTAAATGTGAAAATTATATTAACGGTTAATATTCTATCCTTCTACGTCACGGAATATTTTAGGTTACTACACCAATTTTGTTATTATTCGTCACATTGTATTTAGTTATATCTTGTATTATTACATTTCTAGGTTATTGAATCCGTTTTATGCCAGTCTCCTACGTTCTCAACGGCTTATAGTCCTCGTGCCCTACTTATCCACTATTCTTCATCTTCCTGGTCCGAAGTTGGAATTGATATTGAAGATTCTCTCAATAAACTTTGCTCTGCATTTGATTTAAATACTTTTAGTGAATACAAATTCACTCCAGTGATATTACTTGTCGCGTTTCACTCAGGATCTTCCCAACAAATCCCTGTAGAAGCTGAAGGCATTATCCATGGGCTAAAACTTATTCAACGCTTAGCACATGACTATAGTTGCCCACTTCTTTTACCATCATCAGAATACGAACCAGTAAAAGTCCAATTTAGAAAAAATTCAATCTCTTCTGGTGTGTCTACAGAATGTGAAAGTGACCACATCAACATGTGCGAAAATATTCAGTCTATAAAAGATAGTGCAAAATTTTCATTGGGCTTTTTATCTGTTTCTCGGTCGGATGATGTAAGAGCTGGTGCGTTTTCCGTCATTCTTTTATATTTATGAACGTTTGAATATTTTCATGGCGGTAATCAAATAAATATTTTTGTTTAACGTATATACTCATGGATTATCTGTAAACAAATAAGACATAATTGTAATCATCGTTCACCCTCAAATAAATATCTAAAGGATATTCAATAATATAAGTCTTTATAATTTTAAGATGAATGTACTTATCCTAAGGATTACTAGGATTCTACCCTCGTTGATTTTTAAAAACCTAGCTTCCTAGTACATGCATGTTGAATCAGTCGAATCTCACTATTTCACTGTTATATACTAACAGAAGTTTTTCAAACTGACCAATGTGTTTCGGGACATGCTCGCTCAGTTGTATTTGTTTATACTCTATATATATATATAATTATCTGTATAGACCACCATTAAAAACCTGGAAACACTGGACGGCCGTCTCGTCCTAGTATGGAATTCAGCAGTGCGCATCCCTTTTGTACATATTTAGACCTAAATGAGTCTGCTGAATCTTGTATATACTGGTTTTTACATATTTCGAAGAAAATGTTGATTTTGTGTTATTTGCATTTAGTCTGTTTTCTTTCTTTTTTGCTTCTCTCTCAAAGAACTGTACAAACGCATTTTTGACGGAGAATTCAGCAGTTGGTACTCTAGCTTCGAAATGACTAAAAATCTTTCTGATAACTCGGTTTGTTCTAACGTCGTTGCCAACAATAACAATTATTTCTCAAACACACACACATCAAAATGTTCAACATCCTCAAAAAGTCCCACCGAAAAACCACAATTTGCACTTGATTCTCAAAATGTGAGCTCTGTCTGTTCGTCAATCCTCCATAATCCACCAAACGATGTAATTACACTTCCTTGGCTTCCTCTTAGTCCAACTGATGCATTTAGTTTCCAGAGTTTAAGGTCACTTCCAACTCAAAACTCTTTTTCTAGAACTCTTTGTCTGGAAACTACTCATGCAAATATTATTCGGACACTTGACAATCATAGGCAACTGTCTCGATCAAATATAGTAAGTTAGCCTAAATGTATTCATTTACTATTATTAAGTTGCCTGTTTATCCTCGAATCCTATCGTCTTGCTTCTCCTTTTTATATTTTTAATCACCCATTTAAATGTTTTTGTGATTTATAATTTTTTGACAATTTCAGTCCAATAGAATTTAAGGACTTCGCAATATAACATTTTTGTGTACAAAGTATGTTTATACGTTGTACGGTATCGTATTATTTACTTGTCTTGAGATCATCATATCTTCTTACTTGATATTATTTGACAACTAGTGGATTTCATTCTATCGGTTATTATCTAGAGAAATTCTTGTAAACCTTTTATACACTTATGACAAGCTTTATTATTTTTTGTATTGTCATGTACTCAAGTTGAATAAGTGTTATGGACAGGTATGCTAAACACGTTCACAACTTACTGACATATCATGAAAAAGTCTAGGTACTGTCAAATCACTGAAATGATATTGTAAAAGCGTGAATCGTCAAATATAGACCGTTGTTAAACAGAGCGCCATGGTAGTTGTAACGTACATACTTGCCGCATAAAAATGATTTGACGAAGAACTTTAGTAGTAAGTGATACCAAGATTGATCCTGAAAAGCTTAGTCATCCACTAAGTATGCCTTCAAAGCAACTCTGTTATTTAATGATAGCATCGTGAACAGCACAATCAAATTCAAACGTGTGATTCAAACACTGAATCGCTGTTCATGATGGTGCATGTGAAGTTTACGTGGTACTGTGTAAATTTGAGTATACGTCTTAGTGAGCATTAGAATTAAGCAATCTTTGTTTAATACATAATAACTCTGTTTGAAGCAACTCTAGCAACAGGTTATTGCCAATTATTGTTCAAGAATAGTTATCCTCTGAGATGGTTATAACTCGCGATAATCGCAAGGGTTGGAATAAAGTTGGGGACGGCCAAATCAAGATGTGGCATTAGTCCATGAAAACATCTGACCGTTGGAATACATTGCATAGATGGGTACAGACTACCTGGTTGGAGTTTGCGCAATTATTGCAACCGATAGTTAGACTTTGGGTGATATAACTCAAAATCACTCACAATGCAATAAGTCCATTCACTCCGTATCTCCCCTTACTTTTTAAGTACAAAGCACAAGCCACCATTCAACAGATCTAACACTAAGTTTCTAAAACTACCTTTTCAAAATCTTTTATTCAGCTAATCCATGTTTTTTCCTCGAATTGCATATATACCTCATCGCTTATATTACCACTAATACTGTTGCTGTGGTGTGAGCTACTTATATAAGTAGTATATAACGTGCGTTAAAACAACGTAATGTCCGGCAGCAGAAGATGGTGAAGATCAAGAAAAGGAAGAGCAAGAGCACAATGGGATTGTAAGAAAACGCATGTAAAATGGAATGGGAGACAATGGATTAGTGTTTGCAACGGGAACAGTACAGTTTGATATGATGGAATGATATTTTGCAAATTGACGATTGACTTTATGGTATTCACATTTTATTGAGATAGTCTGTAATTTTTGTGCTAAATACAATCGATTGTCCCCACCCGTGTTCTTGTTCACTACATTGCTACCTCTACTACTCTACGGTTTTCCTTGAAAATTTCTCGCTTTACTAATGGGGCGTGAGAAATTGAACGCATCCTCACATGTTCTTAGTTCTAAGTTGTGTATGACTGGCTGACTACAACTAAATTAAACTTTCAAACGCTCCTTCATTTTTACCTTGTTGAAAATGCCTACATTTCAGCGCAAAAACTATTCCTCAAGCAGGATCGATATTACTTAGATTCTATCGAATCTGTGTGATGTACGTTTTTGTATGTAAATCTAATTGCCATTTCACGAATTCAGTCATAAGTTTTAGATTTCATAAATTCCATGTTTGTTTCTTTGAAATAGCACACAGAGAAATAATGTTAATTCGCGTATTACTTTTGACATAATTCATTGTACATAGTCATTAGAAAATATTTGCATAACTTTTTAGAATTCCTATATTCTTCATCCTTTGGGTTACCGTGGTAACCTCTGTGTCATATTCATTACACAAGTTGATATTCCATGCCATATAACCCATACTTATTATCGTCTGAAGGTTTTTGGGTGCTTGCTTAAATATTCTTCATTTTTGATGTACTTTAAATGACATTTGTTCAAGTACACTAGATTACCACTGCAAAGTTAATTGGATTACTACTTATTTAATTTTCTGTTTAATATTTCTCTTGGAAAGCTCAATTCTACAGAGTGTAGTATCTTACCTTCGACAATATGTGAAGAAATGTGTCAGATGTCTCAGGCTGGTGTATTTTGTTCAGTATGTCCACAGTCATGTTCCACAGCTGTCGCTTTACCCAGTATTAACTCTTCTGTAGAAGAGTATTACGCCGAACTTCCCAAAGTAACTCAGTCAGTTGTAAGTATATTTTCTTCCTTCTTCACTGTTTACTTTTTTATGTACATATATCGAACAATGAACATTACCTTTAAATGTCCAGAATTATTTTTATTACACTTAGTAATTTCACTTATAGTTAATCAAGGTAACCATAATATTATAAACTAGGATTCGATAATTTATACTCAACTTTGAAAAGCTTATCCCAAATGTTTCTTCTCTTGTACTCTGATAGAACTTCAGTTTAGTTCGATAGACCTAAAATATTCCTGTGAAATACATGAGTTTTTTTCGAATGAATTATGATTGACGTAGGCATATGTTGTAAAATTTATCTTCAAATAAAATTCCCATTTTAATTAACGCAGTACTAGGTGAATACTTTAAATAACTCTAATACAATCGTCACACATTACTTGTATGTGGGAACTAATATAGTTAAAAATCAAAAATAGCTTAAACCTCTTTGTAAGGATTGTTTCTAAACATCTGATTGTTTAGTGCTAACAGATTTTTATTAATTTATAGTTAGTTATGATATGGTTTCTACTTTCATACGTTCATAATCCTCATTCAAATCTAGGTTATTCAATGTACTAATTTTCTTACAAAATTTACAAGCAAAATTTTTTAAAGTTATTGGAAGTGCTTATTTTCTCCCAAACAACTCTTAGAAGTTTGGTGAATATGAAACTTTTCAAGTCACGAATTTGTGATATTTTCATCGCGCGAAAAACTTAAATATGATCGTTTGAACTAACATGTCTAATAACTGAATCGAATAGCAACAACAACAAATATCACTACAAATATCCATGCGTTTTCTAACTGTATTATTTATCATCAAATCAGATCTATAATCTTTGTTCAGTTTCTTAATCGTTATTGACTGAGTTAATCAAATAATAGGAGTGTAGGTTTTTGTTTATTAGTTTTTACTGTCAAAATATGGTTACTTGTCCACTATATAAACAAATTATGAAGGGATATGTAGAGTTAATAAAATTTTCGTTGTTTTAAACCGCGGATTGATCTTAGTTATTGAGTGGCCGTAATCAATGGAGTTTAACGATGTCGGATGTGAAACAATCATCTACCTTCTTAGTTGAAATTAGACATGTACACTATTTGATCCCTGCTCAATGGTGTAAAGCGTTCGGATCCAATAACGAGGTTTCTAAGTTTGATTACCAGGTACAGGGTCGCTAATAAGCACTGCTAAGAAGTCCCGTATTAGAACGAGACAACCGTCCAGTGCTTACAGGTTTCCTATGTTTATCTAAATAAGATCGGTTCGTGATTGCAAAATGAAAATAGAAATAAAATTCAATAAGTGTAGATTATTCTCTATACTGGGTTGCTCTTTATCAGTTCGTTGTTTTCAGTGATAATTTAACTATGTTTTTTACTGTTTGTGCTTTCTTTTATTTTCAGATATTAAAACTTCCACTAAATTATTTTCAATGATGAAAATGACAACTTTAAGTTAGCATTTACTTTTCATTTGTTGTTTTTGTGTATTAGGTTAGTAACTGGATGGTCATCGTGTTTCTCTGCTCCTTGTTGTTGTCTTCCATAACCTTTTTTGTTTGTTGATCTTGTTCAAAAAAGTTTCTTTCCAAGCTTGGATGTGTTTGTTGTAATGGAGTTCTATTCTGTGTGTGAATATATACATATGCTTACATTTAACATATCGATTTCGCTTTACCTTATTTATGCAGACTTTAGAACTGGATTCACGTCGTCCTCATCCTAATCGACCTAAAAGACCTCATCCACGTACCGATTCCGCTCATTCTCATTCACCGTCTCCGTTATTATCCAACGACCAAAATTTATTACCAACAACCACAGCTTTCAATCAGTCGATAACTGACCTATGTTCTAAAAATGATCTGTCCCATATTAACGGTCACCAAACATTAGATAATGGTTCAACCGTTTATGCTGAAGTTAACGATGCCTTCGTTTACAAAACACTTCCTCATTGTTCTTCATCAGGTTTTATTCCTACCAAACTATCCTCACATGTAGATCATTATGAATTAACAGATTCTGTACAGCAACTTAATAATTTAACTTTGTATCCGAATCTTTCGAGTTCTCCGTACATCTCCAAAATCCGTGATAATACTCATGTAAATGGTAAGTCTTCTAAACCCTAACATTTTACTGTTGTCCAGTTCGTGTGTAATTAGTGTATTAAACCTTTTTTCTATAACATTAAGTGATTCTAGACATCAAAAAGCAAAACACATTTCCTGTTTTTTTATATTTTAAAGAGCTCTACAGTTAAAAATATGGCACCACCCTTTTATTTATTAATAAACGTTCAGACCTTTTATCCAAACATAAAAGAAAAGACTGGTTTATATATAACATTTCGTAGTTAGTCTTTTGATACTATATGTAAACCATTATATAAATACTTCAAAATTGACATCGGTAAACATCATAACATACAAAATCCGAAATGCTAAAAATGTACGGTTCACCTATTCCTTTGGACGAAGGTACATGAACTGCGTGTAGTTAGTACCCGCTTTCATCACGAATATAGGAAGATATTCCCGCTTGGTTCTACAAATATGGAAGGAGGATGACTAGGAGTTCTCTCCTTGATCGTAATTATTTAACCAATCTACATTGATTTTAATATTACTTTTAAAATCCTTCTTTACAGAATCAAAATCTTAAAGTTTTCATGAATATGATTATATATCTTGATAATGGATTCGTTGGAAAGAGATTTCTTCATTCAATTTTGTTTTTAATGTTCTTATATGAATTATAAAATTACGGATATTGATGTTGGACTCACGAAAACTCATAACATTGTTCAAACCTACATTGTATTATCTCGACTCATTTTCTTAAGACTTTCAGCTGGGTTCATTTCTCGAATTAACTACATGCCTTATTTTGAGAAACGCTATTCATTAATATTTAACAGCTGATATGTACTCACAAAGATATCGTTTATAGGATTGATATCCCTTTCATTTGTTTTTATACTTTACTAGTGGAATAGAAAATAATTAAGCTCCACTATTTGTATCATTAATTAAATAGTCGATAGTTTCTGCTTAATTGCATCTGACACGAACTCGAGTTATTTCACACGGCTTTCTTTCATAGCTTGCTCCAGTCCTGTATCCCACTTCCTTCTTGTTACTAGCACTTCGATATGATATCGTGTCTCAGAGATTTCGCAAACAGTATTTTAATCACGATTTCTCTAACATTACAACCGAATTTTTTATTTTAAGGTTGTAACTACTGTTTTTTCCAGTATCATTACAGAGATATTATTTGAAACACAAGATAAGTGAAGAAATATTTCTCTTCACTTATTTCCTTATTAAGGTTCCATAATAATATGTAAGTTTTACAGTTAAGAATAAAATCAATACCAATTAAATGGTGATTGGTCACCTTAACGATTTTTTCTTTTAAACTAATCAGTTAAAAGCTCATTAAATGTGATTCTTTCTTTCCTTTGTCACTACTAAAATTCAGGTTCCCTTGTTTTAAATAATACACGCGAAATGTGCCATTCAAATTCATCGCGTGTGAATCCATTATCGAATATCTTTTCGCAATGCAAAGCTCGTGCTGATACTTCCTTTGGAAGAACTAGCTTGCAGTTTAATCCTAGACATACAAACTTACCAGCTCTGCCTTCGAACGAGATTTCAACCTCCATATCAACTCATTCAGATTCAAATTTCTCGTTGCTTCCTTTTTTTTGTATGCCTACTCAAACGACACGTTCCGTTTTATGCCCCTCTTACTCCAACATTTGTTCCACCCCATTATGTTCTTGGTCTACATGTAGACAGCACGCGGTAAATTTCAGTAGATTTTCGAGAGTACCAAATGTTTCAGCTTCTGGCTTGCAGTGTGCTCCAAATACTTTTCCTCTCAAATCTTCTACGTTTCTTGGACCTGTGATGCCCATAGATCTCCCGTGCGAATCTCTCCCTGTTTCTCAGTTGAAGCAAAAAGTAGGATTTTCTAAATATTTTTAATTGTTATTCCATACCTTCGTAAATCGAGCGTGTTATAAAAAAACCGTTTGGTTCATATAAGCGATGTAGACACCCAATTTATGTTGTAGTTTCTGATACTAAAATTTACTCTTAAAAGGTTACTAAAAGTCTTTTGTATCCATCTCTTTAAGTTCATTTATTTGAGAACTGTCTTCAGTCACTACACAGATGTGGTTCGTCCAATCGTACATTATTAAGTCGTATCTATTTGTTTAATTTTTATCTAACGAGCGTATGATATTATTTAAAATAATTTGAAACTTCTTTGGAACAGCTTTTCTGCAATATGCTAGAAAGGTTATTCCCTCAATTTTATTTGGGTAAAACCTTCATTCTCAAGTGAACTGACTGTTTTTAAAAATAAAATAAAGGTTTCCAGAAATATCAGAAAGTGGTTTGTGGATATTATAGTAATATTAGCAGTTGAGATCATGAGTCAATTGAAGCTAAACCACCATAGAAAACCTGGAAGCACTAGATCGCCGTTTCGTCTTACTGTTTGACTCAGCAGTGCGCATCCACGATACCGCCCCGCGAGATTCGAACCCAGGGCCTATGAGTCCTGAGTTTAAATGTTAAAATGTTCATTTTAGAAAAAAATCAGTAAATTAACACTACAATTTGTTGTCGTACTTTGACTTTTTCAAAGACTAACGTGATTAAGGTTATGTTAGATTCGATCCAAAAATTCTAAATAAGCTTAAGTGACGTTTTTTTATTAAAAAAAACACTACATCATTTTACTGAAATATAGAATATTAGTGCCAATGGGTAATTTTTTTCGATCATTTATTCTGTATATTCACTTTAACTTTTAAGTACATTCAAAATAGGTTCTCAATTCAGATTATTCCTATTTATATTAATTGTATGTCCTCTTACGTATAATAATAATAAAGATTAGTATTATTAAAGTTCTTGAAATAATTGTTGTTTTTTAGAAAACATTGACTTATGTTGTTGATTCGGCTGTCACTAACATATCGCCTGTTACATCCGACTTGTCAAATAATCGAAAACGATTTCCACGGAATATTTTATCCAGTGCTATAAAGCGATGTAACATTTGGTCACGATATATGTTGAACAATAGTCATAACTCAAGTAAGTTATTAACATGTATTTCTGATAAATATACTTTCCAATATTCTTCTAATCTCGTTCTTTACTGTTATGCATGTCTGTTGATTGGTTAAGTTAATAAAGTATTTCAAAAATACTTGTACTTTATTTATCTCAGTCAATAAATGTAAGTTTTTATGGTTTAGATTTAACATTTATTAAATCATTTTACTTTTGCTCTTCTTCAAATCAGTTTATAGCCTTAAAACTGATTAGAAATTTATAGTAAGAGCGAGTCCTAGTTAGCTGAGTTGTGTTACGATGTGCGATGATCACATGTTGTTGTGCTTGCTTCCTGTGCTTGGTGAATCCAACCTTGCTATGTGGATGAGAATACTACGAATGACAGGCAGGCCTCATTAGCGAATTGAATGGTAATGTACACATATGTGTCCGAACTTTGATAAAAGGTATAATCAGTTCGCGGAATAACCGTTTCTTGTTTAATTATCTCAACTATATCTTGACACAGTATATAATTATAGGCATGTGATTTGTCTTGTTTCTCAAACTATGACTTCCCTCTTCTGAAAAACTGGTCTGCCTCCTTTATTTGCAATCATCCATCAGAATCAACTGAATCAATTAAGCACATTAAACTGCACTACACATTTTCAAAACGATGATATATACATTCACCTTTTTCATTGAGAGCTTTGGGATGGTCCATAATTTTGTCATCAGTAAAATGGAAATTTATTTCCAGATCAAAACGATTCAGGAGTACTAGTTGGTAACACCTTCTGCTAACAACAAGAAGAATTTGGTTGCAATGTCACTCAAACCTTACATTCATTTTCTTAAAATAAAACAATCATGCTAATACAAGCATATCCAGTAACACTGTTAAACCTCTCAACTAATACGATTCCTATAAATTGAGTTACAGTTGTTTCTACAACTTAATAGAATCACTTAGTAGGACTATGCTTAAAATAGAATTCTAATTACTAAAATGTGTCATTTTGATGAATAAGTTTATGATTTTTATATTTCCTTTTATTTCTAAATCATTATCTATATCCGGATTAATTCTGCTTATTGTTTCAGTTCGTAAGTCCATTATATTAACTGCACATTGCATCAACCTCAGTCTAATTTACTGCCTTTTTAATTCGAATTTCAGAAACTTAACTATGCATGCAAACAACATCTACTGGAATTTGTTCATGTTAACAAATACTGTGTTCTAACCAAATATTCTTCATTAGATTGTATAATGATGAAATGACTTCGTCGTAATTATCAGCTTCTATAGATCAGATTGGTCTTTTTAACGGACTTATTATTGTATTATAATATGAGTTTTTAATACCAGAATTATTCTCATTATATTACGAGATAACTTTACATGATCATATTACTTAATCTATTTTTTTATTATGTATACTTATTAATGACACTTTTCAAGTGTCACCTTATATTCTATGTTAACATCAATATTGTTAACAATATTGCTAAATCACTTCATGTATTATCTATTCTTTCACTTTTATTCCCATTGCAAAGTAATCTTTTCAATACATTAGTAAATAATTTATTTTAAATAAACGATTTTGCGATTTCTTCTTATTCAACAACAATAATCGTTCACTTCTCACTAAATTAGGTCTAACATATGCTAATACATATATAAACACGCAAATTTATTTCTTTAGAAAACCGGACTGAAGTAGGAACATTTGAATTTTGCAAATTATTCTAAAATACCACAACTAAATAATGGATTTATTAAACAATATGACTATAAGTAATGAAAACAAGCACACTCTACAGTAGTAGTTGAATTTGAAAAGACGATGTGCGCTTTAAAACGCCATACTGGTCTTGTTCTCACACTCCACATGTCTTCTGCCTCAGTAAGGGTTGTTTAATCAACCGGAAGCCTGCCTGACAACAATACTACCGCCGAACATATTGACAGTGATATGAAATCGTTCGTTGGCACACTTGAAACCTCTTTCTAACGACGATCTTATTCCATTTATACTGTCTGTTTTCACTCACTATCGGGGTATCTCATATATCCTTGATCTACCATTTTACTCCAACAAAAATGCGCACTCACACACAAACTATCAGAGGAAAAACGGTCGCAGTACTCAACTCTCTCCAATCACTTCTCCATCGAATAACACACAATCATCTTGACACATGAAGACCTAGTCAAGACAAAGTTGTTATCGTTGTTGAGCAAACGACCAGCAATCTGAAGGAAATTTCACCTTGCTGTTAGATAATTGGAAGTCGAGGGAAAAATTGCTTGTCAAAAAGGCATTTGTATAACCAATAGTTAAGTTATTTCACTGCCAAAACAAGAGGAAATAACCTATTTCACAGCTTGGGATAACACCAATAAGGTGATCGGGCAAATTATGGCAGACAGCAATATTGATAGTTTTATTAGAGGTGGAAATATTAGTGGTGGTGGATCCGTTGTTCTGTTTCGTCATGAGGCGACTCACTACTGAGAATGTGTATATAAGTAGTATGAATGGTTGGATGCACTGTGGATGGAAAGTGTTGCTGAGCAGTGTTGTTCGACGTTGATGCAGTTGATAATGTCTATTTTGGTGTGTATGTTTATGTTGGGTGTGTGTGTTTGTGGAATGGTGCTGTTCAGTGTGGTGTTTGTGTATGTGGCAGTGTTTGATGTGCAAATGGATGGCTGATGGTTTTGTTTGAGTTGCATGGTGGGGACGTGTTGACTGGGCTTGTCTAGTTGACTTTGCGCAGTGGCGGTACCGTAGCCAATGAAGTTTATCTGAGGCGCGGTTATTGCTAGTTGAAAACTACTCCCAATACCCCGCACCGATGGCGTGAAATATCGTTGTCGGATGCAATTTTTCTAGGCCGTATCTGGCCCAATTCACACAAAACAGTTACTCATCGCTCACTCTCATATACTTGCACGACCACACTGACATACGCCCAAACTGCATCATCATCACCGTCATCATCATCAACAACAACAACAGCCATATTAACAGTAATTCCAAAACTGTTATAACTAACACTACTACCATTACTATTATTCTTATCATTATTATTATTATCATCATCATTAGTATTACTATTATTATTATTATTATTATTATTATTATTATTATTATTATTATTATTATTATTACTACTACTACTACTACTACTACTTCTACTGTTAGTGATACTGATTCAAATACTATTACTAATATCAACACCAACACAACAACAACAATAAATACTACTACTACTACTACTACTACTACTACTACTACTATTACTACAACTGCCGATAATAACAAATATCATACAATCGGAAAATTACAACAGACAATAGCACACTCAACTCTCAGTTATGCGCACAACTCTCCTTAGCATTGTTCTCATGCAGCAACAGCAGCAACAACAACAACGCATCATACACTCATCAACAACACAAACCTACATTACCGCATTCAATCGTTGTGTGCTTCGCGTACGAACAGTCGCACGCGCACACACACACTCACACACACATTCCATGTCACACGTGAACTCGTCGTAACAGTGCAGGTGGAACTCAACACACAGTGTCAGTGCATATCGATGAGAAACCACACATGATGATGACGATCCCACTGATCATAAGCATGAAGTTGGTGATAATGTGTGATGTATTTAGGTTAGTGAGTAGAGCGACTAATGCATGTAGTGTGGCAGATCGAATTGAAGTAGTTTGGTGTGTTCAAGCATCGACTGAGATACTTATTCGTTGAGCCGCTAACACATTCAGCCTCTCACTCTCTCATCATACATGATTATCTGTGTATATAGGAAATATATATAAATAGTTAGATAGATATTTGTACATGGGATTGTGCACAGTGGTGTGGTGATGACTTCATTTGTTGTGTGGGTGTTTATTTTCGCATTACTATCATGCAGTGAGCGACAATAAGCAACGAAGAGACAATTCTCAGTGAGGTGGTTTGTCAATTATGGATAGGAGCAATTCACATTTGTGTTTGTGTGTTTGTGTAGATGATTGATGGTGTACAGTGGCTAATTCGCCTGCAGTTGACCGATGTATCATTGTGGTGGTGTTGTTTTAGAGAAGTGATAGTAAAAGTTGAAGAAGTAGTGTTAGAAGTGGTGGTGGTGGTGGTGATGGTGATGGAGGTGGTGTTGGTGGTGGTGGTGGTGGTAGTAGTAGTAGTAGTAGTAGTAGTAGTAGTAGTAGTAGTAGTAGTAGTAGTAATTGTAGTAGTATTCGAATTAGTGGTGGTAGTTCCGTTGTTCTGTTTCGTCATGAGGCGACTCACTACTGAGAATGTGTATATAAGTAGTATGAATGGTTGGATGCACTGTGGATGGAAAGTGTTGCTGAGCAGTGTTGTTCGACGTTGATGCAGTTGATAATGTCTATTTTGGTGTGTATGTTTATGTTGGGTGTGTGTGTTTGTGGAATGGTGCTGTTCAGTGTGGTGTTTGTGTATGTGGCAGTGTTTGATGTGCAAATGGATGGCTGATGGTTTTGTTTGAGTTGCATGGTGGGGACGTGTTGACTGGGCTTGTCTAGTTGACTTTGCGCAGTGGCGGTACCGTAGCCAATGAAGTTTATCTGAGGCGCGGTTATTGCTAGTTGAAAACTACTCCCAATACCCCGCACCGATGGCGTGAAATATCGTTGTCGGATGCAATTTTTCTAGGCCGTATCTGGCCCAATTCACACAAAACAGTTACTCATCGCTCACTCTCATATACTTGCACGACCACACTGACATACGCCCAAACTGCATCATCATCACCGTCATCATCATCAACAACAACAACAGCCATATTAACAGTAATTCCAAAACTGTTATAACTAACACTACTACCATTACTATTATTCTTATCATTATTATTATTATCATCATCATTAGTATCAATATTAATAATATTATTATTGTTATTATTATTATTATTACTACTACTACTACTACTACTACTACTACTACTACTACTACTACTACTACTACTACTACTACTACTACTACTACTACTTCTACTGTTAGTGATACTGATTCAAATACTATTACTAATATCAACACCAACACAACAACAACAACAACAACAATAAATACTACTACTACTACTACTACTACTACTACTACTACTACTACTACTACTACTACTACTACTACTACTACTACTACTACTATTACTACAACTGCCGATAATAACAAATATCATACAATCGGAAAATTACAACAGACAATAGCACACTCAACTCTCAGTTATGCGCACAACTCTCCTTAGCATTGTTCTCATGCAGCAACAGCAGCAACAACAACAACGCATCATACACTCATCAACAACACAAACCTACATTACCGCATTCAATCGTTGTGTGCTTCGCGTACGAACAGTCGAACGCGCACACACACTTACACACACATTCCATGTCACACGTGAACTCGTCGTAACAGTGCAGGTGGAACTCAACACACAGTGTCAGTGCATATCGATGAGAAACCACACATGATGATGACGATCCCACTGATCATAAGCATGAAGTTGGTGATAATGTGTGATGTATTTAGGTTAGTGAGTAGAGCGACTAATGCATGTAGTGTGGCAGATCGAATTGAAGTAGTTTGGTGTGTTCAAGCATCGACTGAGATACTTATTCGTTGAGCCGCTAACACATTCAGCCTCTCACTCTCTCATCATACATGATTATCTGTGTATATAGGAAATATATATAAATAGTTAGATAGATATTTGTACATGGGATTGTGCACAGTGGTGTGGTGATGACTTCATTTGTTGTGTGGGTGTTTATTTTCGCATTACTGCCATGCAGTGAGCGACAATAAGCAACGAAGAGACAATTCTCAGTGAGGTGGTTTGTCAATTATGGATAGGAGCAATTCACATTTGTGTTTGTGTGTTTGTGTAGATGATTGATGGTGTACAGTGGCTAATTCGCCTGCAGTTGACCGATGTATCATTGTGGTGGTGTTGTTTTAGAGAAGTGATAGTAAAAGTTGAAGAAGTAGTGTTAGAAGTGGTGGTGGTGGTGGTGATGGTGATGGAGGTGGTGTTGGTGGTGGTGGTGGTGGTAGTAGTAGTAGTAGTAGTAGTAGTAGTAGTAGTAGTAATTGTAGTAGTATTCGAATTAGTGGTGGTAGTTCCGTTGTTCTGTTTCGTCATGAGGCGACTCACTACTGAGAATGTGTATATAAGTAGTATGAATGGTTGGATGCACTGTGGATGGAAAGTGTTGCTGAGCAGTGTTGTTCGACGTTGATGCAGTTGATAATGTCTATTTTGGTGTGTATGTTTATGTTGGGTGTGTGTGTTTGTGGAATGGTGCTGTTCAGTGTGGTGTTTGTGTATGTGGCAGTGTTTGATGTGCAAATGGATGGCTGATGGTTTTGTTTGAGTTGCATGGTGGGGACGTGTTGACTGGGCTTGTCTAGTTGACTTTGCGCAGTGGCGGTACCGTAGCCAATGAAGTTTATCTGAGGCGCGGTTATTGCTAGTTGAAAACTACTCCCAATACCCCGCACCGATGGCGTGAAATATCGTTGTCGGATGCAATTTTTCTAGGCCGTATCTGGCCCAATTCACACAAAACAGTTACTCATCGCTCACTCTCATATACTTGCACGACCACACTGACATACGCCCAAACTGCATCATCATCACCGTCATCATCATCAACAACAACAACAGCCATATTAACAGTAATTCCAAAACTGTTATAACTAACACTACTACCACTACTATTATTCTTATCATTATTATTATTATCATCATCATTAGTATTACTATTATTATTATTATTATTATTATTATTATTATTACTACTACTACTACTACTACTACTACTACTACTACTACTACTACTACTTCTACTGTTAGTGATACTGATTCAAATACTATTACTAATATCAACACCAACACAACAACAACAACAACAACAATAAATACTACTACTACTACTACTACTACTACTACTACTACTACTACTACTACTAATATTTCTACAACTGCCGATAATAACAAATATCATACAATCGGAAAATTACAACAGACAATAGCACACTCAACTCTCAGTTATGCGCACAACTCTCCTTAGCATTGTTCTCATGCAGCAACAGCAGCAACAACAACAACGCATCATACACTCATCAACAACACAAACCTACATTACCGCATTCAATCGTTGTGTGCTTCGCGTACGAACAGTCGCACGCGCACACACACACTCACACACACATTCCATGTCACACGTGAACTCGTCGTAACAGTGCAGGTGGAACTCAACACACAGTGTCAGTGCATATCGATGAGAAACCACACATGATGATGACGATCCCACTGATCATAAGCATGAAGTTGGTGATAATGTGTGATGTATTTAGGTTAGTGAGTAGAGCGACTAATGCATGTAGTGTGGCAGATCGAATTGAAGTAGTTTGGTGTGTTCAAGCATCGACTGAGATACTTATTCGTTGAGCCGCTAACACATTCAGCCTCTCACTCTCTCATCATACATGATTATCTGTGTATATAGGAAATATATATAAATAGTTAGATAGATATTTGTACATGGGATTGTGCACAGTGGTGTGGTGATGACTTCATTTGTTGTGTGGGTGTTTATTTTCGCATTACTATCATGCAGTGAGCGACAATAAGCAACGAAGAGACAATTCTCAGTGAGGTGGTTTGTCAATTATGGATAGGAGCAATTCACATTTGTGTTTGTGTGTTTGTGTAGATGATTGATGGTGTACAGTGGCTAATTCGCCTGCAGTTGACCGATGTATCATTGTGGTGGTGTTGTTTTAGAGAAGTGATAGTAAAAGTTGAAGAAGTAGTGTTAGAAGTGGTGGTGGTGGTGGTGATGGTGATGGAGGTGGTGTTGGTGGTGGTGGTAGTAGTAGTAGTAGTAGTAGTAGTAGTAGTAGTAGTAGTAGTAGTAGTAGTAATTGTAGTAGTATTCGAATTAGTGGTGGTAGTTCCGTTGTTCTGTTTCGTCATGAGGCGACTCACTACTGAGAATGTGTATATAAGTAGTATGAATGGTTGGATGCACTGTGGATGGAAAGTGTTGCTGAGCAGTGTTGTTCGACGTTGATGCAGTTGATAATGTCTATTTTGGTGTGTATGTTTATGTTGGGTGTGTGTGTTTGTGGAATGGTGCTGTTCAGTTTGGTGTTTGTGTATGTGGCAGTGTTTGATGTGCAAATGGATGGCTGATGGTTTTGTTTGAGTTGCATGGTGGGGACGTGTTGACTGGGCTTGTCTAGTTGACTTTGCGCAGTGGCGGTACCGTAGCCAATGAAGTTTATCTGAGGCGCGGTTATTGCTAGTTGAAAACTACTCCCAATACCCCGCACCGATGGCGTGAAATATCGTTGTCGGATGCAATTTTTCTAGGCCGTATCTGGCCCAATTCACACAAAACAGTTACTCATCGCTCACTCTCATATACTTGCACGACCACACTGACATACGCCCAAACTCATCATCATCACCGTCATCATCATCAACAACAACAACAGCCATATTAACAGTAATTCCAAATGTTTATAACTAACACTACTACCATTACTATTATTCTTATCATTATTATTATTATCATCATCATTAGTATCAATATTAATAATATTATTATTGTTTATTATTATTATTATTATTACTACTACTACTACTACTACTACTACTACTACTACTACTACTACTACTACTACTACTACTACTTCTACTGTTAGTGATACTGATTCAAATACTATTACTAATATCAACACCAACACAACAACAACAACAACAACAAT